AAAACAATTGTCACTGAATTCTTTTGTAAATATTTTACAAGCTTTATATGTTAAGGAGAAAAAAAACTCTTCAGGACATCTCTCGGCATTATGTTGTTATGTTTTTTAAAATACAATTGAACATAACTGCCAATTGTTTTTCATCGGAATTCATAAATATCTGTGTGGACCAAACCGCTAAACAATTTAATCAGTTATTAATGTGCTGGCCGCGTGAAGTTTTCCGGGTTTTCTTCACGTGTCTAAAACCTGAATAGGGGCCAGTTTATAATAAGTCCTCCCGGAAGGCACACAGCTTTTACACATCGCACCGTATTGCATTCATTTGTCCAGTATAAAAAAATCGAATGTAGGAATAAAATAATGCTGTATAAAAACTGTGTATATGACATTTCGTAACATCTAGTAATTTAGTACATGTACAAATGATAACTGCATAATGCTTGCGATATAAAAGCACGTATAATAAACTTTAGAGCTGAATTAAAGCTGTTAAATGTTTCATATTATTGATTTACTTTACTTTATTCTTGAGTTCAAGCACTGTGCACTTGATATATAATACAACATATGTATTTGTTTATAATATTTTAAACACTTAGTAGACTGTATTTATTACAGTAAAAATAGCAAAAAAGTAAAAATTTTAAATGTTACCTGACGAAATTACATTTACCGCTTTATCGTTATTTTGTGCTGTTTTCATAATAATATAATATAGAAAGGAAATAGATTTCGATATGCTTTTAATTTATTTTTACAGATTTTTTAATTATTTGAAATGGGTTCAATTATTACTTTAATTTATAAATAGCTTAATTATTGCATTAAATTATTATAATAGAATTAAGTACTGAAAATTGTTTCTTTAATTAAGCCACGGTTTTTTAGCAGTTATTTTATTCATAAATTCAATAATAACTTTTTTTTAGTGTTATATTTTAAAATATCAAACTGTAAATAAAAGTATATTGCTAGTAACTCAATGTAATTCATAAAATCTGTAACGTTCTTGTTGATATGATAAAAAAATTAAATAAATTCGAGGAAAAAATTAAAAAACATGTGTTACTGTGAAATTACTTATGTAATCTTATAAATGAAATATATCTGAAAGTTTACCGAAAAATACCACTTATAAGATTGTCACAGTAATTTAGAAAATCTGTAACGTTCTTGTTGATATGATAAAAAAATTAAATAAATTCCAGGAAAAAATTAAAAAACGTGTTACTGTGAAATTACTTATGTAATCTTATAAATGAAATATATCTGAAAGTTTACCGAAAAATACCACTTATAAGATTGCCACAGTAATTTAGTAAATATAATATGTCATTTTTTGTTAAATTCTATGATTTTTCTTAAGAATTATATTTCGTTTAGTATTTTGTTAAAGTTTTGCAAAAATATTTTGTTATATTGTTGCCTGTAATCCTAAAAAATTAAATGTAGTCGAAAAAGTAATTGATATATAGAAATCCAATCGTTAATGTTGTAATAAATTTATGACGTTATGTTAAAATAATGTAAACGTAATTGTCAAGTTTTGTAGAAGTTTGTTTAGCGATAGGTTAAAATGTTTGAAAATTTTTAAAATGTATTATTAAGTATTAAAATTGCACGGATTGAAATTTAATAAATATAACTTTTATAAAATGACATTTTAAGAAAATTGGAATTTTTGATTGAAAATTTCGATCAAATAATTATATTTCGCTTCAAAAAATACTGAAAACAGATAGAATCGAAAATTAATTAAAATTAAAATATAATTCTTTTTGAACAAAAGAAACTCTTAACTAACAACACAAATAACGTAACGAATTTTACTTATTTATTTAAATTCGATAATTGTACATGTATGCATATGACACAAGATTTCCAATCTTACTTAACGGTATAACTCAGATAAATAAAAGTAAAATACATCAAAATAAAACAGTAAAAACAAGTAAGAAACATTTAAAATATTTGATAAGATAACAAAAGGACTAAAATATTAAACAATAATAATCTTATCTAAATATATAAAATTGCTTGTCCTGACTGTCTGAATGACTCACTCACTGACTGATTTATTATCGTCCAGAGCAAACCGCTTAACCTAAAGCGGTGAAATTTTGTACACAGTTAGGGTACGTCATGAAAACGCACACTAAGAAGGGATTTTCCGAATTCCCCCGCGGGGGGAGAGGAAGAAGATTAAGGCTTCATTGGAAAAACAGCTTCTACTGTACTATTTTATATGCGATTTTTTGTGTTCATCTGCATTTAAGTAGGGTATGCTATGGCAATGCATGCTAAAAAGGGATTTTCTGAAATTCCCCCGCGGGGGAGAGAAAGAAAATTAAGGCTTAATTGAAAAAAACGGTTTCTACTGTACTATTTAAGATGCGATTTTTTGTTTTTATCTGCGTTTAAGTAGTGTATGCCATGGAATGACACTGAGAAGGAATTTTTCGAAATTCCGCCGCCAAGGGAGAGTGAGAGCATTATGGTTTAATTGGAAAAACGGCTTTTGAAATTGATTCCATACTTTCCCTTAAATTGATAAGATATCAGACATTGTTATAAAAATTTTCACATATTTCGATATTTTTACCAAATGTTCGAACCGTTTTAAATTCGATTTTGCTATTGCATATTGGTTTGATTATAGAACGATTGTAAATGTTCCAGAAAATTGATCAAATTGAAAACAGTTCGTTTGATTCTCAGCAATTCTCATTATTCTTAGTTGTAGATGATATATAACAAATACCATGGTTGTTGAAATACTGAATGTAAATGGGGTTTGCTTGCAAAACCTCTGCAGGCAATGTCACAGGTAACAGCTACTATAATGTAATTTAGATGTGTTAATAATAATTATAATAGGCACAAATCCCAAATGGTTAAGAGTTGAAAGTCGAAATTTTGTACACAGTTAGGGTAAATCCTTAAAACGTACACTAAAAAAGAAATTTTGGAAATTTTGTTTGTGCCAGAGAAAAAAAAGGATTATTTATGGCTTACTGTGAATAAACCTGAATCCTAACAGTAAATAATAAGAATGCAAAACATCGTATCTGAAATAGTATATTAGAAATTGAGATTTTCACGGCTTACAGTGAAGAACTAGGTTTCTAATATTCCATTTTAGATTATTCAGGATTCTATATAATATTTTAGATTATTCAGGATTTTATATAATATTTTAGATTATTTACGATTCTATATAATATTTTAGATTATTTAGGATTCTATATACCCAGGGTGGCCAAGCTCCTTGATAGTCCGAGCCATTTTTCAAAATTTGATATTTTTGCGAGTCGTAATTAAATACGTATTAAAAAGGTGTGCAAAAAATTCCAGATTACAAATTATATCCGTAGCAAGAGTGATACAAATTGTTTCCTCCAGAGCACAATGTNCACAAGTCTTACTTTTACTGCAATTCATGTCAAAGAAGATTTATGAATAAACGCAAATATGAATTGCACAAAAAATCTCATCTGATAGAAGCACCGAACCGAAATAAACATGTAAAAAAAGAAGAAACAGAAGCAGGATCTTCTTCAGCTCAAATTGTGTTAAGCTTTCATAATTACTCTCTTCCACAAACTCAAACTTCGAATAAAATAAAGAAAACATCAAAAACTTTGAAAATTTGCAGTTCGGTGGAAAAAGTAAAACAAGTGGAATCTTCTTCAGCTGAGGTTCAGGAAGAAGTGACGATAGAAGCAGGACCATTTTCAGCTCATGTTCAGGAAGAAGTGACGATAGAAGCAGGACCATTTTCAGCTCATGTTCAGGAAGAAGTGACGATAGAAGCAGGAACATCTTCATCTCATGTTCAGGAAGAAGTGACGATAATTATTTGAGATTTTATATACTATTTTAGATTATTAAGGATTTTATATACTATTTTAGATTATTTAGGATTTTGTATAGTATTTTAGATTAATTAAAATTTTATATACTATTTTACATTATTTAGGATTTTATATACTATTTTAGATTACTTAGAATGTTATATACTATTTTCAGATTATATAGAAGTCTATATAATATTTTAGATTATTTAAGATTTTATATACTATTTTAGATTATTCAGAATTTCATATACTATTTTACATTATGTACTATTTTAGATTATTAAGGATTTTATATACTATTTTCAGATTATTTAGAATTTTAATTATAGGAGTTTTTACCGGTTTTTACAGATACCGTCGCAATTTTTTCGCAGTTTTATAGGAATCGTAATTATAGAGACCGTAATTATAGGAGGGTCTACTGTACTCTGTTTTATTTCAAACGAGGTATCTTATTGGTTTGCTTAGGTTGGTTTGGATGGTTTGTTGGTGTGTTTTTTGCGCAAGGGCCACATAGGCCAAGCTGCGCTATAGTTTGTTTAGCAAGCTGTATCTTGTCTTGTATCGGCCGGTTTGGAATGAGCTTGTAGGCTATATAGCTCTGCGGTAAAGTGTAATTTTAAGACGTAATTTTTATGTAATAATAGCAGTATGCCTTTATGATTGTTGGTGCGTGAAAAATAATGTCTTTCGAGAGGTTTTTTAAGGGTAACTGACTCCTATTCAAGCGTTACAAACATGGAAAAAACGCGGAAAACTCCATGTTTCCAGACTGTCCAGGCTAAGCGCGAACAAGCGATCGAATGGTCGTAGGCTCGCGCCTCGTCCTAGTGTTCAGGGAACAGAACCGATTTACTACTAGTGAGCAGCCAGCTGTATTAATTTCGCCTCACCCTGCCACGCGCGTAATTTATAATCAATACCTTTCATGACTTCAAGAAATATTTTTAAACAAATTATTATGTAATATGGTAGTTGTTTAATTCAGTTAAAAAATTTTAAATAATTTCAACAAAGGAAACACAGTACTAAATTTTGTATTGAGGCTATTTAAATAAACTAACAAATTATGTAAATTCATAATAGGATAAAACAATCTTCTGACAAAAATTCCAAAATAATGATTTATTAATTTTTATACGAAGCCCAAGTAAAAATTGCACTTTGTTAGCATAGAATTCGAAATTTTAATAATTAATCGTAAACCCAATGAAACTTTATGGTAATTAGTTTAAACAGCAGTTAAACCGATACGTGTGAAGAAGCTTGCAATCGTGCTCGATGTAAAAGAAAAGTCTTGTGAGTATAAAAATCACATTTATGTATTACTATTTGTTTATATATTGTCTACTTGGACATTGTTTATTAATAAATCTTGTTATATTAGTGTAGTTTCTGATTTGCAAAGAGAGGAGATCTTAGTGAAAAGTAAAAGAAAATCATTATTTTCACCTATGTTGTATTGACTTTTGAATAAGATCTTTATTATGCACGTCCTACTTCTTAATTGATGACTAATTTGTTTCGATTCTGTATTCATTGCTATATAAAATTCTCGTTAGATTATAGTTTAAAATTAATGTTCAAAATTTACATTCGTAACTGAAATGTAGTTTGACTTTATACAGAACCTCCAAGTATAGAAAATGGAAGATAAATCCCGCCGTGGCAGACCTCGTGTACTAAAAGATTACAAGTGTAGATTCTGCCCAAGTTTTTTCTCAAATAGATCAAATTGGAGAAAGCACATAAAAAAACACTTGTATTTAAGACTTCTTCCATGTAGTGTATGCGGTGAAAAATTTAAAACTAAAAGAAAATTGCGTTTTCACAAGAAGTTGCACACAAGAGAAAAAAAGTTTCAGTGTAAATTTTGTTTTTGTACTTTCAACAATATTGGAAAGTTTAATAGACATAAAGCAATTCACAAGTCTTACTTTTACTGCAATTCATGTCAAAGAAGATTTATGAATAAACGCAAATATGAATTGCACAAAAAATCTCATCTGATAGAAGCACCGAACCGAAATAAACATGTAAAAAAAGAAGAAACAGAAGCAGGATCTTCTTCAGCTCAAATTGTGTTAAGCTTTCATAATTACTCTCTTCCACAAACTCAAACTTCGAATAAAATAAAGAAAACATCAAAAACTTTGAAAATTTGCAGTTCGGTGGAAAAAGTAAAACAAGTGGAATCTTCTTCAGCTGAGGTTCAGGAAGAAGTGACGATAGAAGCAGGACCATTTTCAGCTCATGTTCAGGAAGAAGTGACGATAGAAGCAGGACCATGTTCAGCTGACATTCAGGAAGAAGTGACAATAGAAGCAGAACCATTTTCAGCTCATGTTCAGGAAGAAGTGACGATAGAAACAGGACCATCTTCATCTCATGTTCAGGAAGGAGCGATGATGCAAACGAGAACTTTCTTACTTTAAAACCCGCTAATTTACATACTTAACCTCTTTCTTTATCGAGTTCAACTTTGGAGAAACGAAGCAAAGTTAAACTGAACAGAAATACAAGAATACATCAAATATCCGCATACAATTTCGCAAACGACAATTTTGTAAATATGTCAGAATAATTGTGAAACTCTGTAAAGCGAACGCACTGATAAAAAGAACGATTTAAACATTTTATTGATATTCAAAAATATTTTATATAATTTTAACCGATTTTATTGTGTATTTGTATTTTATATAATTTTACAATAAAACGAATTTAAATGAAATGAAAATTAACTTCATTCATTTCATCAACTGGAGACATCCCCATATTAGGTCTACATGACGGCATAAACATAGCGCGAGTGCTGAAATGTATTATAACCAATAGAACTGACCAAAGTGATATAGCTTGCCTTGGAGCAGTAACGAAATCCAGGTAATAGTGGACATGGGCATTTGCAGAAGGGCAAATGGAGCACTTGATCTTAACTAAAAATAAAAAAAAATTCACAAATAATTATCGTAATAATAGAGATGCATTTTTACATTCTGGACGTGGAACGCTTTGTGTTTGTAAAATTTCTTGTCTGTCTTAAAAAAGCCATGAGATATGAAATAACTAACTAATAAACTTCTGTAATTTATTTCTAGCTTTATACTCCCCGTAAATAATTTTCTGCAGACGATCATGCACGTCGATAACAGTCACTTTGCTTAAATTTGTACCAAAGATATAATTCGAATAATATAAATTGATGCAGTACTTTAAAATATTATCTCTATCGACGGTCCTGATCGATTTCGGGTCACTTCTATCATTACAGTTACAAGAACTAATTAGCCAACATTGCTGATTTCACAGAAAGTGCACGGATTACCTCTTTCTTTCTGGCTCCGTCTCAATTTCATTGTGATGTTTTTAGTTTAAATTTAAAATATTTAAGTATTATTTATACATACACGACCATTTTTAATTTACATAGAGCAATACAAAAATGTGATTGTTCACAGCATTCGTTGAGCTTCGGTTCAATTGCTGAAAAGGTGTTATAGTTATGTTTATGATATATTAATATAATTTTGAATTTTACTTGATACACAATAGTTCTAATTTTGTTTGAAATTTTTAAGAAATTTAGTAATAATTTCAGTTTTTTGGCAAATCTTGATTTTAAATAAAATTTTTTTATACTACTACTTAACTGCTTTAAAATTATATTCAAGTTAAGAGAAGCGTTCGCGTTAATACAGACGCATTGTTTAGTAAATAATTTAATTTACTCGAATAACCAAACTAAAGACTAACTAGTTTATATAAAACGGACTGTATGCAAAGGTGTATTTATGAATAGACAATGAAGCAGACAATGTAATTGCTCTTGGCCAGGTTTGGCCCGAACAATCTAGGGTACGAAAGTGTACAGTAGAAGTTCCACAATAAGCACCATTTTACGGGCGCCTAGGTTTTCTTTTAACTAATGCTAACAAAAATTAAGACAGGGCAAAATAAACTTGTAGGACAGAACTGCATGAAAGCAATTTTTATAATTAGATTATAACATTCACTTATTGTATTAAAAAATAAATTTTTATATAAAATAAAATTGTATAAAACGAGAATAATTTAACTACTTTGTATGTCTAAACCGTCACTTATAAAATACACACAGCGTGGGAAATACATAAAATTTTTTTTCATTAATGGAAATATAACAAAACCGTTACTTAATAATTGTATACTGTCAGTTCTAATAGATTTTTTTTCTTTTCTAGTATTTAGTTAAAACAGTACATATTTGCATCGGCACTTTGCGATACAATTAATTGTCATTACGTAGAACAAAAGAATAAATTTCCAATATGAAATGTTTTTTTTTCTTTACTTAATGTTTTATTAATTAATGTATAAATGAAAATATGTGACTGAAATACAAGTAGATACCATTATTGTTTATCCAAAAATTTGCCTTATCACCTTCTAAAATTTCATCTTAAACAAGAATATACTTTAATAGCCAAAACAATATTTTACAGTGTGAAAAGCAAAAAAAAAACCGAGCTAAGATATAAAAGTAAACACTTTAAAATTAGCACACAGAGATGTCGGTACATGCATTTACAGAAAATACGCGAAATTCAGCTTCTAGCACTTTGTTACTGTACTTTGTTTAAAACCATCTTTTTCCTGAGGGCACTAAAAAAAGCATCTTATAGCATGTCTCTTATTGGCTTTGTCAAGCTCACAATGATATGGCCGGTGGTGAAAGTTAGAGCCTGGTATATTCAGACAGACTACCTGGAAAAATTCTTGGGAAATTTTGATACATCCTAATTCAACCCCAAGTTTCCAGAGCGGTAGGCTGCCACCTTGACTGCTCGTCCATCCGGTCGTAAATCGTAATTTTACTTGCGCGAGTAATCAGGCGACATTGCTAATATTACTTCGTTAGCAAGTTTCATATTTTTTTGTATATTTTTTCTTAAGAATATAAATTAATGTAGCGTTTTGATATAAAATTAATGACCTACTTAAAAAATTGGAATAAAAACAAATATATTATTGTCCGTTATTATTTTCAAATGTTTATTGAATGTTTATTGATTTCATTATCAAAATGCATTAAATTAACTTCACCAGACAACATGCCCTAAAAAATTATATAAATTGTTAAAAAACTGTACACGCGTTTGATTTCATTTTAGCATGCTGACGTTATACCGAGATTTTACTCTTCGTTACTTACATCAAATAAGTAGGATTTGGAAAGTTTAAAAAAATCTGTAACAAAATTCTAAAGAAAATTGAGAAGGTTTGGACATGCAGAAAGAAGTTCGTTAGATTATGTCCGAAAATGTTCTTTCTAGGAAAAAAAGAAAAGGTAAACTAACAAGACGATGTTTTGAGTCTTTTTCAAGGTATGATGACTCCCAAAATAGATTTCGATTTCTCGGAAGAAAGAGTCTCATGAAAGAAAGTGTTCTAAAAAGCGATTAACAAAGCAGTGGTATAACCTAGCAATTTTCAGTTGCGTATGCAACTGCAACCACGATGGCTGTTCTTGTTAACTAGTAACCCGCTTTCGAAAACCGATACGACTGCAATCGCGACAAGAAACAAAAAACTTGTTCTACTCGCGCAGATTGCAAACACGCATCCAGTCAGCAAACGCCTTAAATCATAATGTGGCAACATTGAAATAGTTCATTATGGCAGAAAGTAAGAGAATTGATACTTTTACAAAATCGAGATTGATCGAGTTTATTCGGGCTCACAATTGTCTGTTGGGTTTTAATTCTTCGTTTTTTTAAAGATTTTATCTCTTTGTGTATTCTTGCCAGCTTTAACAAATCATCGCCTTTTTTCTTTCATTCGTTGTATTAAAGAAACTGGGTGCATTTTAATAAGAAAAGTGGCTAAAATTCCGTTAATACCCTGAAGTAGAAATAAAACCACTGGTAAACTCACAAAAACTGTAGTCAAGAACAAGCTACTGAAATTGTATTGGTTTACTATAAGGTTAGGTGTTTTCGAGTTGCAACGCAGACGAACAATATGTCAATGACAGGACGTGCTTAACTTGCACTTGTTGCAGTTGCCGTCGTCTGCGCGGCTGAAAATCGCTAGGTATTACCACAGAAAAAAGTGTGTAAATAATGAGCTGCAAGATGAGCAAAATATCCTAGTGTTTTCTACCAATGAAACAGCCCGTTTCTAATTAAAAAAAGAAAACAATTTATTTCGTTCTTTACTTTTAGTTATTTTTACATCGTCAGAAAAACAAGTTGAAAATAAATAAACATAAAGAAATGATTCCAAACATGCAGTATTAGAATAACAATTATATATATATATATATATAATTGTTCAAATGAGTCTACAACAACAATATAACAGCAGA